CGTCGGGGCGGTACCAGAAGGCAGAGCAAAACCGCTGCAGTTGTAAGGGTGCAGGAACAGCGCCCGGCGGAGCGCTCGAGAGGAGACGGGCACTGGTCCGCCCCGCAGCACGTGCGCCTGCCCGCCCAGACCGACTCGTCACCGACGCCGGCCTTCTCCGGCCTCCGCTTCCCTTCTGCCCCTGCACCGTTTCCACGAAGAGTTAAAGCCCTTTAAAGAGAAGAAAACAACAGGAAGCGGAGTTATGCGTGCAAATGCCTGTGCTCCAGACCAAATCCTATCCCAAGCCAATAAAAATGCGCCTTGCGAAGAAAAAGAAGGGAAAAGTCTTCATTTGCGGCTGTGGAGCCAGCAGAAGCCCGGGAGGCCACGGCCAGCACGGGCAGGCTGCCAGCCTGGCCCTGGGGGCATGCCCAGCCCCGGGGCTGCCTGCGCCGTGCCAGATTCCCCCGGCGTTAGACACGCAGTGAGAGCAAAGGGGATAATGGGGGGACTGAGCGTGTGGCGCGCAGGAGAGGCCAGACGTCGCGCCGCTTTCCAAACGCCGCAACCCACCAGTTGTCCGAACGGCCCGACGGCTTCAAAGGCCAGTCAGGTAACAGCAGCCCAAGGACGGCATCCCCTCGCCAGGAGAGATTTACGGCTGCCTCACCCTCACCCGTACGCTCGGCCCCGCAACGGGACTGGAGAATAGCTCATTTGCTCCGAATAATTTATAGATCTTTTTTATTATTGTTCATTTTTCTGATTTCTCGGAACCGCAGCAAAACATTTTGTGCCTGCCACTTCCATGGCGCTGGGGTGCTGCAGGGGCCAGTCCAGGACTCACACTTGTTTCCATACCTCCGGATTTTTTCCAAGTGGCAAGGCAAGGGATTTAAAAAAAATCAATGAAGCAAAATGTTTCAGGCCAATTTCACTGCTAAAGTACGTGCTGTGGCTCTCTGAAAGCCTGGTGTCCTGGAAAAGCTGGCAGCAGCCACCACACTGGAGCAACCGGTCCACGAGCCCTGAGCGTACATGGATTTGGGATGTTCCCGACCGACTTCCCGTCCTGGAAATCGCTAGATAGCAAGCCACGAATGCAGTTTCTTCCTTCCCATCCTGAAGTGGTTTAGAGGGGAAAAAAACAACAACCAGGAAAAAAAAAAAATGAACCATTACGGCCATTGCACCGTTCTTCCAAGAATAAGCAGTGATCTGCAGCGTGTCAGTGATTCGTTCTGCATTTCTGAGGCGCCCCGTAGAAAAGCAAGAGGCAAATTGATCAGAAAGGCTCTTTGGCTTTGCCACAGCCTTGGCACAGGATCACCTCTAAAATTTATCCTGCCACATGATTTTCACATCAGATGCCAAAAAGTACTACTGCTTTACAGCAAAAGCTAACCAGGCCCAGCAATGCAAGCATCTGAATGGACAATTTACTTTGTCTCAAATCTCAAATGCCTCTATAATAGAAGAAAAGCAGCTGTACTGCATACTCCAGCTTCCTGGCCCCAGAGCACTACCTAAACTCCCCAAGCCCCGAGGGAGGGCTGTGGAGGGAAGAGCTGGAGGAGGTGGCAAACCTCTTTCAGGGCCTGTGCCTGATTATATGGATTGAAGTAGCTCCAGGGCGGCTCTAACTTCTGCCTGGGCCTGGCTCCACCCCTCAGCCAGTCCCCAAAAAATGAAGAAAATAGAATGAGTGTTTGGGGCTCCTGTGCATCTCCTGGATTGAGCAAATGACCGGGTTTAAAAAAAAAAAAGTTTTCATGAAGATGAGGGGAAGGACGATTTTGCTGAAGTCACAGGACCCTGAGATGGGTTTGAGAAGAGGATAAATAATTGAAGCAGCTCTTTACCGCCAATTTGAGAGATGGTTATGGCGCAGCGTAACTCTTTAGAGATGTGAAGTTTCATACAGTACAGAAATCCCTATCTGTACCCTAGGTAATCCAACAAAAAACAACAAAAGCAAAAGGATACAAAATCAGAACATCCTGGGCATCCTTAATTTGGCCATTATGTCTTTTTAATTAAGGTGTTTTACTCATTAAAAGCGTGGCACGCAATTTCATAATCCTATTTTAAGCTCCAAAACTGAGCTTCCAACGTGCACATCTCATGGGGATGAAATCTTTAATAAAAAGAAACAATGCGTGTACACCTAAAAAACCCAAAAGCACAAAAATAAACCTATCTCATTTGAGTTTGGTTTTTTAATACCTCAGACCAAAACAAAAGTGAGCTACTATCAAAATTGACCTAATTGCATCATAGCTCAGAATAAGTTGATCCTTTCACTGTGTATCTGGCTTAATAGCATATATTGTATTTTCACGAGCAGAGTGACATCGCCACCCTTTAGGTCAGATTTCAAGGTGTAGTGTCACCAATCCAGAGACATGACAGGCTTTTTATTATGTTTTCTGTTTACAATTTTGCTTCAAAACTTCAACAACACTTCAGATGCGCGTAATCCTTATTGAAACTGGCTTGATGCGGATTACACCCTGAAGCACAAAGGAAGTCTTATCACTTATGGCCAGTGTTTTAGGAGCTTATAACTGTAATCAGGTAGGGATTATATCAGCATGATCCATATTAGCTGAATAGTGGCAAAAAGCTTTTTTCTATTTGACCTTCCCACCCAGGGCATGACAATAATAAAAATGGTATAACATGCAACAAACAGGTACCGCTGAAGGTGGAGTTACCATCCACTGCAGGCAGCAGATAGTATTTTGTAATTGGAAAGAAAAATTAGTCATTAATTAGTGGAAGCAGATTCTTGTATGGTGCATTGTTATCCAGGATTATTTCATTAGGATCTGCTGACCCAATTTCTGCATTGGAAAGGGAATTACATTTTTTCACACTATTGGGAGGGGGAAAAAGAAAAAAAATCAATAACACAGACTACTCAAATTTTTAAAAATATGGTTGCAAACAAGAGCAGGTACCTGTATTGGTATCTCTACAAAAGCCAAATGAAATGAAAACCACTACAAATACATAATCATGTCTCCACTAGAATCAGATTTTGGTTCCCTTAAAATACATAATTCCTAATTAAAACATATGGAATCCAGCTAATATAGCCTCATGACTAAGGGATTTAGTGAAGGGCAGGAATTTTTTTATTACTGCTATGATGGTCCCCTCTGTCACGGGTCATCCTTAGCTTACTCCTCCTGCAATTGCCCTGGGGAAAGCTGACTCAGATAAATTAAAAGAGCTTCATTTGGGAAGCTTCCCCAATACACGAAAGGATTCGCCTCCTAATCTGTCAGAATCCAATAACATTAAAGCAACTGCAACCTGCTTATGGCTTAGTGGGGCTCTCTGAGCCGATGGGCAGGACCCGCGGCCCAGCACCAGACGGGCAGCAGCGAGGAGGGACAGGACAGGAACCCACCTCGGAAGTGGCAGCAGGAGAGATCTCTGCTGCTGAAATATTTTGTGCCCAAGTGCTGCAAGCTCACGTGAACCAAGTGGTTCAGCCACCCCAGGACGCTGCCCATCGCCCTGCACTCACCCCTTCCCCACGGCCACGAACATGGGGCCCTCTGCACAACACGGGACGCATCTCCCTGGGGTCCTGCTCTCTGCTCCTCATCCTCACTGGCACAAAAATACATCTCAACATGTCTGACATTTATAATAAAACACCACCACAGGTGTGCTTAATGCTCTGCCCAGATCATCTTACAACCACTCACCTGTGTGTCTCAGCTCAGCAGACTGTCTTTCACAAGGCCTTACAGGGGCCCTTTGGAAGGAGACAATGCCACAAGCCCTATTTCCAAAGTGGGGGACAGAGGAAACAGCTCCCCCAGAGCCACTCTGTAGCAGGGACAACCCTTCTACTGATACTGAGCTTACACAACCACCACAGGCAGGCATTTTCCCTTTCTTATAAACTCCTCTCACTTGCTAATCATTTTCATGTGCCAATCAAGTAACGAGGGAGTCAGGGAACAACATCGCATCACATTTGCCGCATATTCCTAGAGAACGAGATCACCAGAGGAGTTAAAGAAGCCCCTTCTGCAGAGGTCACGGGCAAAAAGGGACCCTCATAACCTCCTAGAAGCAAAGGCTCAGGTTACCTTGGAAGGCAGCTTGTCCTGCCTGGGAGCAGATGTGGTTTGTGTGGAGGACAAGGGAAGCGACGCCGGCAGGGTCAGCTCTGCTCCTCTCCCAGTGCAGTCACTTGCAATGGGTGTTTTGCGACCTGCCGCCCTCCTCCGGCACGCAGCTCGCCTTGTCGCTAATGGGAGATGCGTGTAAAATTCTCTGCCGGGTCATAGCAGCATTATTTTTTAAACAGGTAGCTGCATTTTCTGCCCGTTACGCTGCTGGAGAGGAATCCAGATGCCACTGTATTCCCGCTCGTGCCAGCCCAAGCCATTCCTGCAGAGGCAGGGACAGCCCGCACGTGAAATCACCCCAGGGGAACGGCCCTTTCCACGCCTGCAAGCACCTCAGGGAAAGTTGCTTTTTCCTTTTTTTCCTTCGGTTTCAGCTCAGTGAATAACACTTCAGTGCTAAGCACAGCAGCTGCAACAGGCCTCTGTTTCCAGTGTTTTGGGACCTGCTGGATTTATTGCAAAGCCTGTTGGGAGAGGAGCACCTTCTGGTGAAGTTACCTGCAGCTTATGCCACCTGGTGACAAAAGCTAACGCACCTCCCGCTTGCCCTGTCACGAAGTCTAAGATGCTGCAACTTACCTATTGCCTTTAATCCCGCAGATATTAGTGTAACGAGATCCAGTGGCTGGGGGTTGAATTGAAAATACACACTTAATTCGCCATTTCAGTGAAAGTAGTTAACAAGCAGGATGGCTTCGCAGGGAGCGGGGCAGCCTCTCCCGCACTGGCAGGCTACATCAAGACCAGATGCATCTCTGGGAGACATGACTGAGGTCAACCATAAATTAACGGGCTCACTGCGAGGGGAAAGAAATAATAATACTGGGTCCAATTGCATGGTCTGGTATGAAGGAGGCCGGATGAGATGGGCCGATGAGTCCTTTCTGCGCCCGTGAACTTTCTGAGTCCTTCTTATCCGGAGGGGAAAAAATGGCAAGGCCTCCCTTTGCCATTTTACCATGGCTGATTCTTAATCAATAGCAGGGCTGGCAGTAGCTCTTGTGCAATACCACTTTCCCCAGAGCTGGGCCCTCTTCCCCTGCAATGCTCCCAACCCCTGCTGGTCTCAGAAGAATTGAGCCCAAAGCTCCACATAGCAATTCAAATGCATCACCAGACATTAGGCCACCGGGTTAACCACTGTTTAATTTCGTCACATTTGTTTGTGAGTTATGTACGTGCCTTTCTTTTGTCAACA